GTCCCAGTGCGTCTCCAGTCCGGAGGCATCACCGGTGAGAAAAAAAATCTGATCGGAAAAGTTTTTAAACTGGGCTGAAAACTGTGAACTAAATAAGTAAATCCTCAGCGTCAGGAATTGGGTGTTGGGATGGAGAATCCCTGAGTAGGTCCATAGTACGTTTCTGCACGCGTGGCAGGTCCGGAGCGCCCGGGGACCGGAGTGGAGCACCGACGAATGCGAGACACGACCAAGCTCGATGTGACAGAGCGTCTAAGAAGAGGAGGAGGGAGGGGGACTAGGGCCGGGGGTGGTGGTTGTCATCGTCTCTTTAACCTGCTATTAAATCCCACCGGATACTACATTAAACCGTCCAATATTCTAAACGTGCTTTGGTACCGATGTGTATCGTCAGAAAAATGATGTATATGGTTGCTCCAGAATTTGGAAACATGTTTATTTCATTTATATTTTTGTACTTAAGAGTTCATGTGAAAGGTTTTCAGGCACAAAAGGGGAGCATATGAAAAACAACAACAACAACAACACATATAAGTTGAAACTTCCTTTAAAAGAAATGTGTTGTTGTTGTTGTTTTACTCTTGTGTGCCATCAGATGGAAAATTTGAGTATTAAATAGTGCACTAGTACTGACCTGTACTATTCAAACTTAAACAGGATTTAAAGGTGCACATGATGCAGACATGAATTGAGCCTGGTGTAAAGGAGAGTGTGTGGTCCTCCTTGGGCTCTCGTGCTCTGAGGGGCCTCGGGATGTCTGGGGCCCGGATCTCCTCCACGCCTGCTTCATGACCTGGGGGCAGGGCTATGGCTCCACACACCTACTATTAGACACTTAGGTGGAGAAACCTTATAAATACCAGCGTACACACGCACACACACACAGAGGTGTACAAACTAGGGATGCAACGATACCAATTTTTTCAAACCGATACTATACCGATACTTGGATCTGAGTACTTGGCGATACAGAGTACAAAAACCGATACTTCTACCACACACACACACACACACAAATGCAATGAATTGGAAGACAGGTTTTATTTTATTCACTGCTGATAAAAAATAAAATCTTAATAAAAATGACCACAAAAAAATTTAAAGTGAAAAATAAGCACTTCTGTTAAATTATTGCA